ATTTAAATGTATAATAATATGGGCCCACTTATAGAAATTTTCCAACAATCAAGCAAGTGGAACTTCATAACTGTGACAATAACAAACACACAATAGAGTTGATATACTCATCAATGACCATATATAAAGAATGCAATAGCTCCCCTACAACCTACATCAGATAACTTGCAGATACAAACGACGACCACCACAAGTACTAAATGATGTATAGTCAAATGTGTTGCAAATTATCAATCAACATGCATTGGGAGATTATTGATGAATGCGATCCATTCAGCAGTCAGTGTTAGTATGCAAAGTGAATGTGCTCGATCATCCCTATAAACATACAATGTCATGCCACAAATGATACAAAATGTTCATGAGCAAGGCATGAAGGACATTTAGCATATGAACTAGCTACCTTACAACACTCCTACCATCAACATTATAAAATAGGAAACCATTTTCAATCTTGCAAGCATTGAAATAGGAGGGGATGTATAGTTTGAGCCCGAACAAATATATAATAATTAATTCTTACAAGCATTAGAAGACATGCAAGTAGATGTAGCAGTTCACCAATCAATAATATATGAAGATCTGTAATGCGTACAATCTCTTTACTGACATAGATGTATATAAAACATGCCCCCTACGTAGATACATAAAGACTTCAATAAATGCAGTATTTTGTAGTCAATTTCAGCCTGTAAATGAATACATCTACTTACCTAGATGCAGCAGTAGTGGATGTATTGAAAAGACCAAAAACCACAATAAAATGCATGAAGAATACGACAAGTGCAAGCTCATACGATCCAAACCAAGAGATTCGTTAGTGCACTATAATCCAATTGCAAAGAGTAACGAGTAATGCACGACAGTCTACTTGTACGAAGCAGCGAACAACCCTATTCAGAAGCTGCTACACCATGCCACCAGATCTGCAACCTTCGTACAAGCAGACAGAAGGCATCTATAATCTATAATGTCATGCCATCAGATCTGCAACCTTCGTATAAGCAGACAAAAGGCATCTATAATCTACAATGTCACGTCACCGGATCTGCAATATCCATGTAAGCCGACAAAAGGCGTCTACAAATACTTTAAAAGTACCCCCGCATGTGCACTGTAGTTTGTATACACATAGGTACACTAAAAGGGGTAAAAGTAATCATAAAATCCGCATGGGCGTCGGCGAGCGTGTTATTGGTACACACGTAACGTCTAGGGATGCTGCGTGGATTATTAAATTTGAACCCGATCCTCCTAACCAGGTAAAAAGAAGTAGACAGGGTATAATTGTAAAATGCCCCCAAACACCCGCATGGGCCCCAACAAGCGTGTTGTGGAAACACATGTGACGCCTATGGATGATATGCGGGTCAATAAGTGAATTCAAGTTCGAATTCAATCTTCTATACGGATCAATATGAGTCGACAATATTCAAACCATCAAATGAATATGTGGTTGTGGCGACCAGCATATTTATTTAATACATTCATATTAGGTCTTCAAGGCATATGATCAAGAGAATTCACTAATAAAGGCATAAAGCTTTTGAAACCCGATCCTCTTAAGCAAGTAAATAGGAGTGGACAGGATTCAAGCCATCGGATAAATATGCGGTCATGAAATTGACCAAAATGTTTATTTTGTACATGCATATTAGGTCTTCAAGGCCTATAACAATATGAATTCACTAATAAAGGCATGAAGCCTATGAAACCCGATCATATGTCGATAACTTGACAGAGTCGACAAGGTCCATTCCAAATACTCAAAATGCCACTCCAAAAATCTCAAAATCTAAAAAATATTTAAAATTGAAATAAATCCATCAACACTTAAAGTAAAATTCATCCACCCTCCACAATAGTTTGCCGAAGTGGACAAATTAAATTTTACTTTAGCTCACATAGAGTTTAATGTCTACTCGAAAATATCACTAGGATCTATTCTAAAACAATCTTTTGCCAGTAAGGACATCGTACGTGTCTTCTAACCGGCAGTTTTGTCTCCAAATGACCCGGGGCCCTCTTAACCGAGTGTTTTGCCGCCAAATGGCACCACGAAATACCGATTATGACTAGAGTCAATACGCTCCTTAATGACATCAAATCCTTGAGATATGAATCAATATGATATGATCAATAGGGAACAAAGCCCTATGTTAGCTAAGGTGAATTCAAATTTGTCCCCTTAGACAAACATTCACCCCAGGTCTACAAGATCCCCTTGGATGAAGCAACCCATGGCTGCCGACAAGGATCCTTCTATCAGGTTTGGTCGACTACCTCCTATGACTAAGTAGACCAGGGACCATGATGGTTCGGGATGATAGAACCATGGGATCTTGATCGGGTCCATCATCCATTCCCCCACCATCTGCTTTAAGTGCAAGATGGGGAAATTTCCAATTTTAAATACTAAATCTCCAAATCTTCCAATCCTCCAAATTCACAAATTCTCCAACTATATCTCAAACCTATGCTGCTACTATATGCTAGATAACACGTATTCTCTATATATTGATTGACGACTTACCTTAATCGAAAGTTCTCTCTCGTTATCGAGAGGGGTAATTAACTATAGGTGCTTGCGCCTATAGGAAACCAGAACTCAGATCATAAAATCCTCGCAAAATGAGGGCGAAATCTCTGGGTAGTGTCTTATCTACAAACTCATCTGCCTTCCAAAATTTACCATGGAACTTAGACCGTTAAAACTCCCTCGCCGAAAAGAAAAAGTAATCAATGCGGGTAGAGGCCGGGCCTAATTTTTTGAGCCCACAGAGAGCCAAACTCTTTGTCAGGAGCTGGGCCATCATCGAAGGGATCAAGCCAGGGGTTCTTCTTGGCATGTGTTGAGAGGCTCGGTCTGTTGGATTTGGAAAGATGTGTTAGCTACGACGTGAAGAGGTTGAGGGGTGGAGAAGAGGTACTTAGAGGAGATGAAGGGAGGCCGGAAGGGAGAGGATTGGGGAGAATTAGTTTTATTAAGGCCATCAAAGAGAAAGGTTTGGGAAAGGAGATTTAGATTGGTGAGTGAGTTTTGTTTTCCTTCTTCGTTTTACCTTTTGGATTGGATGATGTTTGGGAAAAGTGGACGTTAGGATTTTTAATGTGTGGAGGAGATGGGATAACGGCTCGTTGCTGTTGAAATGACCATGTGAACCCTCTCTTGTCTTTGTAGGTTGTTTTCCTTGTTAAATATAAAATAAGGGTGATAAAGGAATAAAAAATCAATGGAGTTGCGAATATAGTTATATAAGATGTGTCTCAGAATAATAATATTTGGTTTAACATAAATGAAACACATAAATAATGAACCAAAATTTATATTTACCTACCTCAAAGAAAATTCAATAATTTTCAAAATCATCAAAATCAAATTTTGATCAGTAAATTCAAAGTATATTTATCTTTATAATTTATTATTAATCAATTAAAATTTACATTATAATATTGTGGCCCATTTTTTATTTTATATATTTATTTTGACAAGAAAGGACTTCTCTCAATACATTATTATAGGAGTACCCTACTCACTCAAAATTGTAATACTAATTTAACACATAATCAATTAAAAAACGGCCAAATACATATTACATAAACCATATAATTCTTTTAATCTTTTTCTTTGTGAACCTTTATAAGGAAAAGTGTTTTTTTTTTCTTCTGCAAACGAACATTTCATAAAGATTTTAAACTTTAAGGATCACATATAAGCTTAAAATGTAATGATTGAAAATTCATTAAGAAACTCAGCAGTTAATTGTGCTCATCCCATATAAATCCTGGGATGGATGACCTCCTTTGAAGTTATATCAACATGACAAAACTGTGGACCCTTCGGCCAAAACGGATAAAATCTCGATAGTTAATAATTTGGGCTGTTACAAATGGTATCAGAGTAATACACCAACCTGAAGATGGGAACTAAGTGCTATACAAGATAAAGTGCTACGCCATGGAAGTCATCTTTTAAACCTTGTATGAGATAAAGTGATACATGACGAGAGCCACCCCTTGAACTTGTAGGGACCACATCTAGAATCCTATCTGCTTGGTGGATGATTCATGACTCGGATGGGCAATCATTATTATTAGCAATCAAAAGACTGTATGCTAAACTTCTAGAAATTTATGCAACAAAATAATATGACAAATTAACCATCAATTCATGTCAAAATGAACACTTAGAGTTAATGTGAATAAATAAGCATATTATATTATATCTTATAAGCAATTAAAGCATACAAATAAATATCAAGGAGTACAATCTTAACACAGAGGTGTATGTTTATCTCTTACTCAATAAAGAGTCGCTTAATGTCATAGAGCACAAGTAGCCCAACTTTTCAATCATGTATTGATCTTCTCAATCTAAGTGGTGGTCCTAAAAATAAATCCTTGATTCAAATGAATTTAAATCAACTATACATTCAAGACATTACACCTTAAATAATTAAATAACTAGAATAACCAATAAAACATACTTTTGAAGTAAATGATTCTATAATCTCTCTTCCAATTGACAACAAATTGTTTAATAAATTTGAGAATGAGAAATAAAGATGACTAAAATGTAAATATTAAATTAATAAGATGTTAAATAAAATATATTTTATTCTAAAGTGAAAGGAGAATTCAAATCTTAATTATATAGCTTTTTATTATAAATTATTTTACAAAAATTATTGTAAAATATAATTTTTTAGTATAATTATTTTTAAGTAATTAAAAAATAATCATCAAATAAAAATATTAAAAATAAAATTATAAAAATGATGTCCCGACCAAAACAGCCGATATTAAATATATAAATTTTTGAAAATCTGTTTTATATATATTCTTGATATATCAAAGAAAATTCGATTAATAAAATTTATAAAATACCCCTTTCATATTTTACTAAGGTCCCTCACGCGCATCCCAATTTCCAATAGCAGGCAGGGATCTTTTCGTAATTTAAACACCCCTTCCAAATAAAATTTGAATCCCTAATCCCCACCTCTTATATTTTGGCTCTCTCTCTCGCCAGTCGCCTCCTCACTTTAACCTGATTTCCTCCCGATCTCCACCAACTACAGCACCACTGATCCATCAAGAGAGAGAAAAAACATGGCTAGAACCATTGACACTAGCCATTCTCTTCTTCGCCTCCTCCTCCTCCTCCTCCTCCTCGCTGCCGGAGCCGGCCTTGTCTCCGCCACCGACCACATTGTCGGCGGCCACCTCGGCTGGAATCCCAACATCAACTACACCCTCTGGTCCAACAATCAAACCTTCTTCGTCAACGATCTCATCTGTAAGCCCTCTCTTCTTGAACCCCCACCTCACAAACTTCAACAACAAAAACCCTAACCCTAAAAAGTTTGCAGCTTTCAGGTACCAGAAGAACATGTACAACGTGTTCGAGGTGAACAAGACGGGCTACGACAACTGCACAATGGATGGGGTCGCCGGAAATTGGAGCTCCGGTAAGGATTTCATCACCCTAACTAGACCTGGAGAGTATTACTTCATTTGCGGCAATGGCCTTTGCTTCTCCGGCATGAAGGTTTCCATCAAGGTCATTCCTCTTCCTTCCCCGCCTGTCTCACCCTCTCATTCCCCTTCTGGACACTCTCCGTCCGCCGCTGGATCTTATCGGGCGCCGCTCGCCGGGCTCTTTGCCATTGCTGTATGGATCGGCTTCTGGATCTGAGAAGCAACTGTTTCCCTCTCTCTCTCTCTCTCTCATATTTTAATTTAATTAATCCGTTATTTATGCAAGAGATAATTTGTTGTGTCGATTGCTTTAAAAGATTTTGTTTTAGAAGTTGATTGAGGCAGAGAATTGCGATGGAAGTATTAGGTTTCATTTCTAACATTTTTTATTATTGTTTTCTAAATTGATTTTATCGTACCAAAATTACTAATTAGAGAAATTTTTGAACTAAGTAATTGCTTTAGAAAATAATCAAATGGTTTTCTTATGCTTCTTTAAACAGCTTTTTAATATAAAAATTTTAATTTTATATTAAAAACCTGCATTAAGAAGCAGTGACAAAGCCTTAATATGTAGTGATCTTGTATTGAAATCCATGTCAAAAGCACTTTATGAAAGGAATCAATACTATTTTTTTACTGATATTCTCCCATATTGACTGAAAGTATGATCTAAATCTTTTTTAAAGTGCATCATTAATTTTTTAAAAGCATCAAGGAGGTGATCTTGCTCTAATAAGTGTAAATGAGTTGACTAATAGAGTTTAAGTCAAAATTTGAGCTCAAATTTGATTAATTAATTGAGCTTGAGCAGGCAATTTGGCTTAGAGAAAAGTAATCTTGATTCAAGTAGTAGTTGTAAATAAAATTATAAAAAAATAAGAAATAATGAAAAATAATTAGAAATTATTTGATATGAGCTAATATAATGTAAATTTTATTTTTTTAATAATTATGTTCTTAAGATCTTAAATTTTAATATATTTAATATATATTGTAATCCTATTTATTTAAAATTTTAATATATAAATAATTATGCTCCATTAAAAATTAGTTATAGCTCAAATTGAATAAAAAATAAATGGATACTTACACACAACATCGATTTTTCATTATTGAAGGATTTATGAACTTAACAGTCAGATTATTTAATTTTAATTATCTAATTCATGCATTTATATTGGTAAACAAAATTTTCAAAAAAATAGAAAGTTGCTAAAAATGAAACAAAACTATGATTTTAATGCAAATTTTGATATCATAATAAGGATATAAAAAAATTAGAAACAATATGATATTGAAATATAATATAAAAATTAAGGGAGATTCACATACTTACCATACAATTCTTATATATTTATATACTTGACCTCTAAATATTTTTTATTTAATTATATATTATTTTAATACAACAATAACATCAAAGTCTTTATTCCACCACGTGAATCTTTTTTATCTATTATATCTCGATAAGAGTCAAATTTTCATTTAAATCTAATTAAAAAAAGAAGTAATTTCTATTCTTTTACATTTTAACCAAATCTTTTTAGAATTATCTTTAAATTTCTCAATATAGGCTGAATCTAATACATCAACTCTGCTAATTAGTTCATTATAACTACTCCAACCTTTTTTTTATCTATACTTATTTCTTATTTTATCTCTAAGTATAAAGTTATTTATCCACATGAGCATCCTCATCTATGCAATTCTTAACTTAGTATATATTAGTTTACTATTTAAATCAAATAAAAATATTTGCATAAAAATAAATATTATTTTAAATAAACTAATATTAGTAATAAATTGATGTAATATAAAATTTTAAGTGTTATATAAATAAAATAAAAAAAGCTAAGTATTAAATATAAATGCATAAATATTTAATAAAATGTATGTAAATTTCTCTTGTAAATAAATCAAGTGGTTTAAGATGGTAGGCTTTTTATTTCGATTTCATTTCTGATTTACTTCCTCTCGACCTAGTTTCTTTCGTTAACTGAGCTCTAGTTTTACGGAATTTATGGCTTTTGGTTTATCGATAGTCCTCTCGTTTCTCCATTAGCAATCTCAGCCAGCGGGTTCACTTGTCTTCTCTTCTTCTTAAATTGTGCAAGTTGTTTATCTATTCTTCTGCTTATGAAATCATTCGATCGCGCAACGAACTTTTTGTTATATATATATTTCTTTGCTTGATTGTAAAAATACATTCGAGTTGATATTTTCAATTATTTGGTCATATAAATTGAAGGAGTTCTTCTTTTATATTCTGATTAAAGTCATTAGTCCATTTCATGTCCCATTATAATCTACTGGCTTTTGGTTCATTCCTTAGTGAGAAGGTATGGTTTAAAATTCTATAAATAAATAAAAGGGAGCAATTCCTTTGGTTTTTTTCTTAGAAGATGATTGGATGTTTGGGTTTTCCAATCTGTGAGTTTTGTTTTTTTTTTTTTTTTTTTTTTTTTAATTTGGAATGTGGTTTTTTTTTTTTTTTTTTTTTTATATGTTATGTTGTTGTCCTATTCATATGATTTGTGTTGACATTTCATGTGTATTGATAATGGAATTGCATTCATGCATTTAAAAGTATGAATTCTCGGCGCAATTATGATATTAAGAGCCATTAACCATTTAAAAAAAATCTGATTATTTGTTTTAGGAGGTCGAGGGTTAGATATGGTCGACCCTTATCCAAATCACATTAAAATTTATTAGGCTTGGATTAGCACCTACATATGAGATTGTGTTCAAGCCAAGTTTGGTTTGAGATCACTGTCACATATTCTGGATTTCAGGTCAACCCAATCCAACTGCATGTAGGAAGATAGTGAGTTTAACTAGACGAGTGAGGTGAGGTAGGGGGGATGCTTGGAGTTGCTTGGTAGGATTATGAAAATTGCCCTTGTTGCACTGGAGCAAGGTGATGTAGAGAAGGTAAGAAGCAAGTAAGGATGTTCTTGGAGAGGAAAATTGAGATAGTGAGCTTGAAATTAGGATGCGGGTTATGGTTTCAACTTGTATGCTATTGGGCAAGTGAAGACATTAGTTGGATTGAAGGAGGTGGCATGTGTTGTGGTGTCAATTGGGATGAAGAGGAGGTTGGCAAGAGATACCATGGCAACAAGGGAGAGGCATTAGTAATTTGTGGATGGAGGGAAATAATATATGGTGGATATTATCGAGATAGTTAAGAAAGAGGTTATGATAGTACTAAAAATGAAAATCCCTTGGTGAAAATAACCTTTATGTCCCATGAGGGCAACATTATTAGCCATTTCAATAAGAGTTATCTAGGTTGGCTATATATAGTGTCATAGTGGCACACAAGAATGACATTAGTATTAATTTATTTATCAAACTTAAAGGAAGGGCATATCTTATGAGACTATTTTTCACCATTGAAGAAATTGTAGAAGTTGAAGCATCCTAGTCATGAATGAAATAAACATATAATCATAGTAAAACAAGAATATAAAGCTAGAAATAGGAATATCAAAATCATAAGTAACAATTAAGGTTTGTGGGTTGGCAGTATTTTTATGGTTTTTTGAAAAAATCTAGGAAACCAACTTTTTTTATTTTTGGTTGGTTCAAATTGAAATACATTACTCTAGGGTAGTGATGATAGCTTGATGACGAAGTGGATGATAGGGATGATGGTGAGTTGCGGGTTGGGGATAGGTTTGTACAGGGATGACGAGATCAAGGATTATGAGGTTTGAATCGTTTGTGGACAATGCGATCGTGTGGGTTTTATCATTGTGTGATTATGGTGGCAGTTGTTAAGGGGTTGGCTGGGAACGGTTAGGTTGAGGATGGTGATGGTCGTGTAGGGTTGGGCATGTGACAATGAGGTTGAGGATTGGGAGATCAGGGGTGGCTACAACGTACAGGGATGGCAGGTGTGGGTTGTGAGTTTTGTGCATTTGGAATTCACTAATTTGTGCAAATTCAAATTTTATAAAAAAACAAACATTCTGGGTTATCTTAAATCTCTATACAAATACCTTGCATTTGCTTGACTTTAAACCAAACACCTGAAAAATTAAAACCCATGTATTTTTTTATGCAAAACTATATTTAAACAACCAGCCTGCTAATCTTGATCCAAAGGCAGAATCTTCCAATTCAATTGGGATATGGGAACAAGGGTTAAAACAGTACAAACAGCAATTGCTAGCAAAAGTGATTGAGAGGATGAATTAGAATGATAGAAATCAGAATGAGGCAATCAGGATTAGTTTTCCTTGCCAAACCCAAAAAATGTGCTTAGCGTCAAATTGTTTTCTATTTTATTTCCTCGGTTCTCTTTATTTCTATTCTTCCCTCTGATGCTTTTATTCTCTTCCCATGATTATTTTTTTGACTTATTCCCTGCCATTGATTCCCTTCCTTCGCTCTCTTCCTTTCCACTGTACTTAAATGTGATCTGTTATGCTTTCATAATATTTCTTCAAGTTTTTTTCTGGACTGTGTTCCACTGATTCTGCATCTTCCCTTCCTTTTCTTGCTACTTGTATTGTCTTATTCCTTTGCTCATCATATGTTTTTTGGAGCCTTTTCTACTTTCAACAGAAGGTTACTCACAAGTCACAATTACTTCTTTCATGTACTTTTTGTGATATATTTTGCCACGCTTTATATATTATCTACATTCCGCTGGACCAAAATTTTCTCGTTTTATAATGTTATGCTTCTGAACTATTAATACTTGCCTAGATTTTGTCTTTAAACCTATCTTTGGTGCTGATAAAAACAATCTCCGATTCTTTGTTGTGGGCTCCGAAAATTCGGCCCCGGCCTCCCCGCCGCTTTTCTTATTCGGCGAGGGAGTTTTAACGGACTAAGTTCCCGGGGTAATTTGGAAGGCAGATGGGTTTGTAGATAAGACACTACAGGGATTTCGCCCTCATTTGTGAGGACTTTATGATCTGAGTTCTGGTTTCCTATAGGCGCAAGCCCCTATAGTTAATTACCCCTCCCGATCCACGGAGAGAACTTTCCGATTAAAGGCAGTCGTCGATCAATACGTAGAAAATAGTGTATATCTTGGCATATAGTAGCAGCAATAGGTTTGGAATGTTGGAAAATGGTTGAAAATTGAGAGTTGGGTTTGGAAGATTTGAAGATTTTTGATATTTAAATTAGAAATTTCACCATCGAGCACTTAAAGCGGATGGTGGGGGAATGAATGATGGACCCGATCAAGATCCCATGTTCCGTCGTCCCGGGCCATGCGTGGTCCCTGGTCTACTTAGTCATGAGGAGGTAGTCGACCCAACCTGACAGAAGGATCCTTGTCGGCAGCCATGGGTTGCTTCGTCCAAG